TCGACTGTCCATTCCCTAGATAGGGGAATGAAGCGAGACAGGCCATCCCTCAGGACGTTTGACACCCCTTGAAAGTGAACCGCCAGGAGAGCCAACCCTGCGAAAACACAGCAAACGAGTAACCTGAAGTGACCAGCCCCAAAGAGCCAAGGACTGCATCAAACCCCCGCTGTTCATACAATGAACCACCGGGGAGCAATCCGAATGGAGCCGGATCATTGCTACACGAGCAACACGAACCCTCTGAAGCGAATGCCACACCATTGCGAACTCCTGCACCGTGCTGTGAGCCCGACGGAAGGACGGACCTCAATGACTCTTGCCAGCCTGGTGAGCACTGGTCACAAAACCCCAGCTGAGAGATGAGGCATCCATGAACACATTGAGTGAGGGCTCGGGAAGACGTCAGGGCATAGAACCCCGAAAAACCCTCCGAGGTAGCCATCTACACAGCAGCTGACGCAAGGCTCCCGGGATTCGAACACAATGATCACGAGAGAGGCGGAAGGGACGCCTCGAAGAAACCAGAACATCCGCCAAGCCAGATCCGCCCCGACGGGTAGATCAAGCTCCCACACCGCTGCCCAAACAACCGACGTGTGACCCAAGTGCCTTCCAAAAACAGTCGTAAGCGGAACCGCACCCACAACAACAACACCGCCAGAGGGAGAGACAAGGATGCGGACCAAGAATTCTACACAAGACCCAGCCCAGTCTGAACCTGAGAGGGAACCAAATGGGACTACTTCTAGTACACCAAGAACCCGAACCCAGTGAGCCGGTAAGGAACCAAATCCCTGGAGAGCAAACACGCAGATTGGCTGGGAGCCCACACCAGCCAATCGTTGAGGTAAGCCAGAACTCAAACGGGTCACCACGACCCGGTTAAGGCATGTGGACACGCGAGGTGCCAGATCCAAACTGAGAAGGAGGGCAATGAAAGCAGCAAATCTGTCACTCCACAAAAAAAACCGAGCCAGTCCCTGAACACCGGATGAATCGGGACGTGCTAATATGCATCCCGGAGGTCCAGAGACACCATCCAAGCACCCGGCGCCAAAAGCAGCCGGACCCAAGACAGAATGGTCATCTGAAGGAGCAAAAGACCCAGGGGATCAGATGGGACAAATCCAGTATGAACCGCAGATCTGCCCAGTCCCGTTTCAGAACTGAAAACAGGCGGGAAACCCACTCCGTGATGACCTGACAGAGCACAGGAGAAGAGGCCCGCCCCGCTAGCTCCAATCCCCCCCGAAGGAGAAGAAGCAACGCCACTGCAGGCCAGAGGAAAAGATCCGAATTGCCCCACGAATCGTGGGACCAGGCGAGAACAAACAGCGCGAGCCTCCCCCCCATCGCCCCGCCAACAGGGCAAACTGTGAAAAGGCTGACGACCCTTACGAGAGCCCGACTGAAGCTCAGAGCAATCAACAAGCCAAACAACCCCGCATGAGGGCCAGTCCCGAATCTGCCACTACTGGCTTACAATGATCGAAGGAAACCGAGACCTGATGCAACCCTTCCGGGCAGGACCTACACGGCCCCCCCCCCCAGGAGAACCTGCCAGTCCGACATAGGCCGTCAACTAGACGAAGCCGCCTGCAGAAAATGCACCACCACATACTCTGCAAACAGCAACAGACAAAAAGGGAATGAAAAAAAAAAGCCCCCCAGGAAAACCTGAACGACTGTAGGCAACTCTCGTCATTCAAGTGCGCAGTCCGACAGGATGAATGCCAAGCCCCCAACGAAAGAAAAGCAGTCTGCGAGCCAGGAAGACTCCAGCACCTTGAAACGCACCCAATAAGGAAAACAGGAGCCAAACTTAAAGAAGGCTTCATTATCGAGGCGTAATCCGTGTCTCGCAGGAGGTAAGCCGCAAAGGCCTCCCACACTTTCCTCGGTGGGATGCGGGAAACCTATACCTCCAGAAGGAGGGAACCAAAGAACCCAAGGGAACTTGGAATCGAACCCGGGGAGGAGTCAAACTCATAACAAAATCGTACAGGGAAGGAGATAGGAAAACCCCTCCCCCTGTAAAAACATACCCCTGTGCTGACGGTACCAAACACCCAAGCAGGGATAAGTGGGGTCCAGGCACCCCCAAGTCAACTTCTCCCCAGCCTTGGAATCCTCCACGTCAGGACCCGGGGCTGAGGTGTCCTCCAAACCCTCCGCCTTTGAAGAAAAAGCAGAGTCCGCCGGAAAGCAGGGATGAAGGGGGCCTGCTGGCGTGGCCCAAAAGCTACGGCAGGAGGACCAGGCTCGAATGCCTCTGCCGCCGATCCGGAAGGGGCAATCCCTGAAGCCACCCGAGTCTCACTACCAGTATAATTCAGCGGGGGCATCCAGAAAGGCAACCAACCTCGCACGTTGCTGCAACCTAAACCTCGCGTGCAACGCTAAAACTGCCTGCACCCGAATATCAGCCTCTGTGGACTGGGTGAATGTGGTACAAGCATAGAACACCACTCGCAGGACTCCGGGTCATAGGTGTCACTGACCCGAACAGGCAGCAAGGCGGAGGCAGACGGTGAGTGTCACCCTGAGACAAGGGAACAAAGCAACTTTCAGACTCCCACAAGGCGAGGTGGGACTCGGAGGTCTCCTACATACATAACCACTGAGCCCCAAAGGGGGTTTCCAGGGCCCTTAGGCTGACTGCTAAGGGAAGCCCAGGCGAGGTACTGCTAACCGGTTATCCCAGAGCTACCAAGCAAACAACTAAAAGCTGACCCCCTGCGACGTGTGCAAGCACAAGGACCTAGTGGAGGGCCACAAAAATCCTACAAGTGGTCCTACTGCACACCAGGCATACCCTCACCAAGCAAAACCAAACAAAAACAAAAGAAAACCCCCACAAAAGCACAACGTCTCCAGGTGAACAGAACCAACCAGCCCAGCCCAGCCCGCCAGCCAGCCTGCCTGCCAGCCAGCCTCTCTGCCTGCCTGAATCCTGCCTACCAGCTTTTCCCTCCCTCCCTAATTTTCCCATCCTCACTCACTACTTCCCTCCCTTCCTGCCTACCTCCTAGCAGCTCTCCCTACCTCCCCCTCCCTCCCTTTCTCACTAATTCTCCCCCTCTCTCTCATACTGCCTTCCATGTTTGTTTATGTACTTCCATGTACTCAGAGTATGGGTAACGATGTTTATCAGTGCTATACCGACGGCTCTGTAGAAGAAGGTGGACGATGTACCGGATGTGCATGTAACATATTTGAACAATCTTCTCTCGTACATACAGCAATGAAGCGCGTCAATGACTGGGCAAGTACAACTCAAACCGAACTTGCAGGCATATACCTTGCCACTGAATTTTTAAAAGACAAAGGCAGTGGACTTATATACTGTGACTCGCAGAGTGCACTCCTGGCATTGAACGCACATAGTAGTGACACCCAGAAAATAGTCAGTGATATTCGAATGAATGTTTTAGCTGCCAAAGAAAACAGATTTGAGATTAAATTCTTATGGATACCATCACATGTTGGCATCTCAAGGCATGACACTGTTGATATGCTTGCTAAGTCAGCTTGCAGAAAACCAGTGGTAGAAATTGATATGGGTGTTTCATTAGCAGTGACAAAGAGAATACTTAAACAAATATCTAATGAAAATCTCACCGACCTAACAAATTCTCAAAGACCTGAAAGTTGTAGCATTAAATATTATGATAGATATCGTGAGGAGACATTCACATATGGGACTAATAGAACAAGAACCCGGCAATGTGATGTTATAGTGGCCAGAATACGCCTGGGATATAGACGTATCTGGCAGCTTTCTCAAAACCCAAATGTCGAGTACACAATGTGTCAACTTTGTGAAAGAGAAAACATGCACTCTCTTGAACATTATATTGTAGAATGTCCCATACTGACTGACTTTCGCCCTCCTGGGCTAAGGTATGCTGAACTCTGTAGTTACTATATGAGTACTGGAACACTTGATGATATATTGGACTTGTATCCAAAATTGACCATGTAATGTATCAATCATACAATGTATGTATGTGATGTAACTATATAACCTGAGCTTGTAAAAGCACCTTCATCACCTTCAGTGATTAAGTGCTTAATTGCACACTAGTTTCTTTATCAGCTACCTCACCCTGTCAGGGTAAATGAGACAAATGTATGTGAATGCATGTATGTGTGTATATATGTATGTGTATGTGTGTGTGTGTATGTATATGTATGGGTATAAAGCATATATGGAAGCTGATCAGAATTACATTTCACCTTTGTGAATGTACATTAATGACACTATGTAAAAGACACATCTAATACTTTATGTAGGGCATACGTAAATCTGTGTATCTTTGTATTTACGTATGTAGGTTAGCTTAGCATTTTAAAAGCACCGAATCACCTTCTGTGGTTGAGTGTTCAATAAACCCTTGAACTATATGTTTAACACTTCTCTAACCCTGTCCATGGAGAACAGAAGAAAATGTGTATATGCTGGTTAGCATTGTAAATGTGTGGCCACGTCTGTGGTAGAAAATAATAAAAAAAAAAAATAATAAAAAAAAAAAACTGCCTTCCATCTAAGCTCCTCCATCCACCCACCAGTCAGCCATCACTGACGCAATGCGTGCATTTGGAGCCGACATGGTGCACAGATGTTCCTTGATTGTGCAGATATGTAAAACAAAATCACAGAATGAACACTCCAGCCTCGTGACAAATCAAAATAATAGGTATAATAGGCCGTGAATCTGTGAAGTCAAAGGGTAGAAGGCACTCTATAGAGTGGTGGCGCCTGACACGGTCAGTGGGCAAATTGGAACATTTCCCACCCACCATCACGGGCCAGTGCGAGGCTTGGCGGACCGCTTCTTACCCGAACTTTGTTCGTGTATCATGACTCCCCGACCCCAATCGGGAAACTGGAAGTTTCGGATAACTAAAGTTCAGAAACCAAGTGGTGCTCTGTACTCTGTACAACGTCTCTGGCAACGGATTAGAATCGTAAACGAAGGTACCACTGTACTTACCATGTTCCTTATTTTTATACAGCCATTTATTTCCATCTTCAGTCAGTAGTTTGTCTGTTCCAAAGGCAGCATTCACAAATCCATTCACGAAAGATGAAGCAAGATTTTGTCGAGCTGAATCTACTTGTCCCGGCCCGAAGGTAGGACGATTGTTCTCCAAGTGGGACTTGTATATATCCTCTGGGGTCTTGGGATCCATGATATCCAACTGGAACAAAGTAATAATATCAGTGTATATAGTATGTACATGCATTGTATATATATAAAGAAAATGTATATAATGTATTGTGGGTATGATTACTCTACAAGAATGAACTGTGGGAATTGTTCACAAGGATTTTTTTTATTCTTTATATTTAAAAATATAATTTGATTTTTTTATATAAATTGAATTTTATTATACATAATATTTTTCATAAAAGCAATACAAGTTTTTGACTTATTACTTGTTAAATAATATTTTGGTGTTTATTTTTATTAAATTGCATACAGTACTACCAATTTTGTTTGAAGTGAATATGTAGACACCAACTGTATTACCTGCTCCAGAGGATCATTAAACTATTCTAACCCACAAGACACAAGGGGGTTCATTCTAACCCCCAAGCCACAAGGGGGTTCATTCTAACCCACAAGACACAAGGGGTTCATTCTAACCCCCAAGCCACAAGGGGGTTCATTCTAACCCCCAAGACACAAGGGGTTCATTCTAACCCCCAAGACACAAGGGGGTTCATTCTAACCCACAAGACACAAGGGGTTCATTCTAACCCCCAAGCCACAAGGGGATTCATTCTAACCCCCAAGACACAAGGGGGTCCATTCTAACCCACAAGACACAAGGGGTTCATTCTAACCCCCAAGCCACAAGGGGGTTCATTCTAACCACAAGACACAAGGGGTTCATTCTAACCCCCAAGCCACAAGGGGGTTCATTCTAACCCCCAAGACACAAGGGGGTTCATTCTAACCCACAAGACACAAGGGGTTCATTCTAACCCCCAAGCCACAAGGGGGTTCATTCTAACCCCCAAGACACAAGGGGGTTCATTCTAACCCACAAGACACTAAGGGGGTTCATTCTAACCCACAAGACACAAGGGGTTCATTCTAACCCCCAAGACACAAGGGGGTTCATTCTAACCCCCAAGACACAAGGGGGTTCATTCTAACCCACAAGACACAAGGGGTTCATTCTAACCCACAAGACACAAGGGGTTCATTCTAACCCACAAGACACAAGGGGTTCATTCTAACCACAAGACACAGGGGGTTCATTCTAACCACAAGACACAAGGGGTTCATTCTAACCCCCAAGACACAAGGGGGTTCATTCTAACCACAAGACACAGGGGGTTCATTCTAACCACAAGACACAAGGGGTTCATTCTAACCCACAAGACACAATGGGTTCATTCTAACCACAAGACACAAGGGGGTTCATTCTAACCACAAGACACAAGGGGGTTCATTCTAACCCCCAAGACACAAGGGGTTCATTCTAACCCCCAAGACACAAGGGGGTTCATTCTAACCCCCAAGACACAAGGGGTTCATTCTAACCCGAAAGACACAAGGGGGTTCATTCTAACCCCCAAGACACAAGGGGTTCATTCTAACCCCCAAGACACAGGGGGTTCATTCTAACCCCCAAGACACAAGGGGTTCATTCTAACCTCCAAGACACAAGGGGGTTCATTCTAACCCCCAAGACACAAGGGGGTTCATTCTAACCCCCAAGACACAAGGGGGGTTCATTCTAACCCCCAAGACACAGGGGGTTCATTCTAACCCCCAAGACACAAGGGGTTCATTCTAACCCCCAAGACACAAGGGGTTCATTCTAACCCCCAAGACACAAGGGGTTCATTCTAACCCCCAAGACACAAGGGGGTTCATTCTAACCCCCAAGACACAAGGGTTCATTCTAGACACAAAGGGGTTCATTCTAACCCACAAGACACAAGGGTTCATTCTAACCACAAGACACAAGGGTTCATTCTAGACACAAAGGGGTTCATTCTAACCCACAAGACACAAGGGCTTCATTCTAACCACAAGGGGTTCATTCTAACCACAAGACACAAGGGGTTCATTCTAACCCCCAAGACACAAGGGGGTTCAGTCTAACCCCCAAGACACAGGGGGTTCATTCTAACCCCCAAGACACAAGGGGTTCATTCTAACCCCCAAGACACAAGGGGGTTCATTCTAACCCCCAAGACACAAGGGGTTCATTCTAACCCCCAAGACACAAGGGGGTTCATTCTAACCACAAGACACAAGGGTTCATTCTAGACACAAAGGGGTTCATTCTAACCCACAAGACACAAGGGTTCATTCTAACCACAAGACACAAGGGTTCATTCTAGACACAAAGGGGTTCATTCTAACCCACAAGACACAAGGGCTTCATTCTAACCACAAGACACAAGGGGTTCATTCTAACCCACAAGACACAATGGGTTCATTCTAACCACAAGACACAAGGGTTCATTCTAGACACAAAGGGGTTCATTCTAACCACAAGACACAGGGGGTTCATTCTAACCACAAGACACAAGGGGTTCATTCTAACCACAAGACACAATGGGTTCATTCTAACCCACAAGACACAAGGGGTTCATTCTAACCCCCAAGACACAAGGGTTCATTCTAACCACAAGACACAATGGGTTCATTCTAACCACAAGACACAAGGGTTCATTCTAACCACAAGACACAATGGGTTCATTCTAACCACAAGACACAATGGGTTCATTCTAACCACAAGACACAAGGGTTCATTCTAACCCACAAGACACAAGGGGTTCATTCTAACCACAAGACACAAGGGGTTCATTCTAACCCACAAGACACAATGGGTTCATTCTAACCACAAGACACAAGGGGGTTCATTCTAACCACAAGACACAAGGGGGTCATTCTAACCACAAGACACAAGGGTTCATTCTAACCACAAGACACAAGGGTTCATTCTAGACACAAAGGGGTTCATTCTAACCACAAGACACAAGGGTTCATTCTAGACACAAAGGGGTTCATTCTAACCCACAAGACACAAGGGGTTCATTCTAACCACAAGACACAAGGGTTCATTCTAACCCACAAGACACAAGGGGTTCATTCTAACCCACAAGACACAAGGGGTTCATTCTAACCCACAAGACACAAGGGTTCATTCTAACCCACAAGACACAAAGGGTTCATTCTAACCCACAAGACACAAGGGTTCATTCTAACCCACAAGACACAAAGGGTTCATTCTAACCCACAAGACACAAGGGGTTCATTCTAACCACAAGACACAAGGGTTCATTCTAACCACAAGACACAAGGGTTCATTCTAACCACAAGACATAAGGGGTTCATTCTAACCACAAGACACAAGGGGTTCATTCTAATCCACAAGACACAAGGGGTTCATTCTAACCACAAGACACAAGGGGGTTCATTCTAACCCCCAAGACACAAGGGGTTCATTCTAACCCACAAGACACAAGGGGTTCATTCTAACCCACAAGACACAAGGGGTTCATTCTAACCCACAAGACACAGGGGGTTCATTCTACCCACAAGACACAGGGGTTCATTCTAACCCCCAAGACACAAGGGGTTCATTCTACCCACAAGACACAGGGGTTCATTCTAACCCCCAAGACACAAGGGGTTCATTCTAACCCACAAGACACAGGGGGTTCATTCTAACCCACAAGACACAAGGGGTTCATTCTAACCCCGAAGACACAAGGGGTTCATTCTAACCCACAAGACACAAGGGTTCATTCTAACCTACAAGACACAAGGGGTTCATTCTAACCACAAGACACAAGGGGGTTGATTCTAACCCACAAGACACAAGGGGTTCATTCTATCCACAAGACACAAGGGGGTTCATTCTAACCCACAAGACACAAGGGATTCATTCTAACCACAAGACACAAGGGTTCATTCTATCCACAAGACACAAGGGGGTTCATTCTAACCCACAAGACACAAGGGATTCATTCTAACCACAAGACACAAGGGTTCATTCTATCCACAAGACACAAGGGGGTTCATTCTAACCCACAAGACACAAGGGGTTCATTCTAACCACAAGACACAGGGGGTTCATTCTAACCACAAGACGAGACTTACATCTAGACGTCATTAGACGTTGAGATGTAAGACTCATCCTAACCACACACTCAAGACCTTGACAAAGCATTCAGGAGAATGCAAAAGACTTTGTGTAAACTCCTTACATAATTTTCACAAATACACAAGTGTGGGTTTAATTCCTTTCATACAAGGTCGTGTAGCAAGACATAAAAACCAGCAGTGAATGTAACGAAACACAATTTCCTGGGTGAGCCCCGGAGGCTCCCTGAAGCTATTCGAACTGATATAGTGCTATATTAGTTTGGGGTCATTCGTCCTTATGCCTACTGGGGACCACGAGCCAGAACCTGGTCCCCCTCAGAGGTGCAGGGAGCAAGGGCCTATGAGCACTTTACATTTAAAGCATGTCATAATTGCCATCAACTGGAGAAGGACCCAGAAAGATAGGCGAATCAAAATAAACCTTTAACCAAACCAAACGGTGCAATCTACAATTTAAAAGATAAAAATAACTCCCCTAGAAAGATACCATACAAACAACACTTCATATAACTAGCACACCTGCTTGTTAGCGCTACCCCCCCCCTCCCCAATGTAAGGGGGAGAGGGATCTGGCAACCCACCACTCCAGTTCTTGAACGATGAAAAACCACTGACCGGAGGGAGGGAGGTTATCAGGTAGCCTCCAGGGCTCACCCAGAAACTGGCTTTTCATTACATTGAACGCTGGTTTTCTGTGGGAGCCCCGTTGGCACCCTGAAGCTAACTACCCAAAGATAAATAAAAGGAGGGACTTACCCGGGAGGTGGCAGCACCACAGATCTTAAGACAAACAGAATCCTGCAACACACACGGCCGAGAAGGAACCAGAACGTTCACAAAAAACCTGGTGGCCAGGACCCTGTTCAATCTTCAAAACTCCCGTGGCCGAATGTCGACCCAAGACACGTTGCCAAAAACCACTGTGAAAGCAGCATACATTATGTCCTCACATTAACGAACTAAATGGGGCGAGGCCAATTCATTCCACCCCAGAATTCGTTCTACCCGTCAGCCTCCAGGCTGTCCCTCCCCTCCATGTGAAAAGAACAGAGGTCCTACATCCACTATAAACAAAAATGTAACAAAATCTATTTGTTATGTAATTATTATTTTGAACTTGGCACATGATACAACAATCATTGGTGAACAATTCCATATCAAAATCACAACAATGTGACTTATTGGTGGCTGCAAATATGATGTAATGGCCAGGATTTCCATAAGCCAACTGTATCAATCTTGATATTAACATTAATAAATAACATTTATTATGCATTCTTCATTTTCACTGTGGCATTTGATAGAACAATCACTTACAAACAATTTGGTACAAAAATGCTGCATATATAAGCATTATTGAATTCAATCAAGCAAAATCACCGAATTTTCAACAAACTGACGAGAGGATGGGGGGGGGGGGGCAGTTGGTGAGCCACCGGTGATTGGGGGAGGGGGGTTGTTGTCGGGTGAGGGGGTTGTAACCACCTCCGACGCTCAGTCTCGATGACCGCTTGGACGAACATTTGTATGTTACACTAAACATTTAGTACCGAATGCAATTTGTTCAGACCATCCGGGAATTCGTTAGAGCGAGGTACGTTAGCGAGAGGATGCACTGTATTTCCTAACATCATGGGCATGAGGGTAACCTGACAGATACCTACTTGATGGGGTTATGGGAGTTCTTCTACTCAAGCCCAGCCCGAGGCCAGGCTTGACTTGTGAGATGAAGTCTCTTAAGCAAGTTTAGCTCTCCGCAACAGTGCGGAGAGCTAAACCCCGAGAACTCAGTAAAAAGGGCCACCCGAAGTGGTCGGCCTCAAAGAGCCACGGACTGAAGAGAAACCCCCCCCAAGGTTGAGACAATGAACCACAGGGGGAACAGTCTGGATGGAGCCGGATCACTGAGCCCCAAGAAAACCGAATCCGTCGCAGAGCCTGCCACACCACTGCAATCTACTGCACCGTGTTGTGAGCCCGACATAAGGACAGCCCAATGCCCCTGACTGGACTGGTGAGCACTGTTCACAAGGCCCCAACTGAGAGACGAAGCATCCGTGAACACATCGAGCGAGGGGGGGAAGAGGAAGGCATCATGGTACCGAACCCCGAAAAACACGAAGAGGAAGCTGGCGATGCAGCAACCGATGCAAGGACACAGGGAATCGAACCAACGATAGCGCGACCGATGAAAGAGGCCTCAAAGATAATCCTCATCACGGCTCCTACAAATTTTCTCATTGATACATCATGTGAGTAATTGAAATTTCTCTCCGTTTAATAAATGCCACGTTATGGAATGTGGAATAGGAGAAAATAGGGCACACACTTACAAATTATGTGTAATGACATTAGAGAACTCTGGCAAAGAAATGGGTGGCTATGGATAGCACTCACCAGAGAACCCCATAAAGAACCTTGTGCAAGTTGGATATGCTAGACTTTCCAACTTCAGACTCTCTTAAATACATGGCTAGCTGGTGAAATTTTCAAGAAACCGTTCTCAACTTTTGTGAGACCAAAATTGGAATATGCAGTTGTTGTATGGTGGCCAACAGGTAAGTACGTAATGCCCATATCTCAAGAAGCAGCACATCAATAAACTGGAAAAGGTGCAAAGGTATGCTATTAAATGGCTTCCAGAACTAAAAAACAAGAGTAATGAGGAGAGGAGCTAGAGGAGTTATATATGCCAAAGTTAAAAGACGGAAGAAAAAGTTGCAAAATGATTACTGCATACAAAATAGTAACAGAAATCAACAAATTGACAAAGGAATTCTTGAAATCTACACCTTCAAGAACAAGCAGTAACAGATTCAAGCTAATGAAACAAAGGCGCTGAAAAAATATTAACACTATCGCTTGCTTTGGACACCGATCTCGTCCACTTTTTTTCTCCTGAGTCCGAGCCATGGACAGGACTCGCGTCCACTCCAAAAATATTCGTATAAAATTAATTTTTTATCCGATCGACCTTGGGATAATTTCAAAATAAGCACCTTTAGAATGCGCACAATTTGATACCAAAATGAAAGATGTAACACGAAACTTGAAGTCGGAACACTTGAAAGGTTAAAAATACGCTTTTGGGTCTAAATTTTAAATTTTAAAATATTTGTTAAAATTTTATTTATTGTGCTATTATTATGGGACTAGTTTTAAAATGTGCACCTTTATATTGCGAACAATTTGATACCAAAACGAGCGATGTAACACGAAAATTGATGTTATCAAACTGAATGAGTATACACATTAGGTTGTGGTGTGCAAATTGGTGCTCGTTCACGGGTAACTTTAGGCTTTGCTGTGGAGAGTCTCGCCAGGTTTTTGGACATTATATGCACATACATCTGCAGGGAATCTAATTGCGAACACAATGATACCAAAACAAACGACGTAGCACGAGAATTAAGATGAGAAAACTGAAACAATTATACACATTTTACTGGTTTTGTGCACTCACAGCTAACTTTTCCGACTTTAGGCTTTGCTGTGGGATGTCTTGCCAGGCTTTTGGACATTATATGCATATACACCTGCAGGGAATTTATTTGCGAATAAAATGATACCAAAACGAACGACATAGCACGAGAATCAAGGCGAGAAAACTGAAACAAGTACAGGGTATACACATTTGGGCGTCGCTGTGCGCTCGCCAACACCGTCCGCCCCATGACGTCAAAGTCTGCGGCACTCACGCGCGATAGTGTTAAACAGTTTTCTTTAGTAGAGTGTGGATGGTTGGAGCAAGTTAAGTGAGAAGGGGTGGATACCAAAACCGTCAGTAGTTTCAAAGTGTCATATGACGAGCACTGGGAAGACAGGACAGAATTTTTTTTTCACCAGCAGTATACTTGGAAACATTTACAAAATATAAATGCATTCATTAAAATGATTTTTTTTAATAAAAAATATGATTAATAAAAACGACATAAAAAATAATACGCGCCGATGGAAATTCCTTTACGTGAAGATCCTGATTTCAGTCTCCCCTCTCCCTCTGGAATTTGGATTGTTTATTTTTTTCCATAAATCTGAATTTGAATAAAATTCAGTGGGTGTATCTGATGCATTATTTAGAAGGATCCATTATAGGGAGATTTGGAAGGGTGGCACGTACACAAATTTTAATTCAAAAAGAATATATACTAACCTCACGACCGAGAGACAGAAAGTGGGTATTAAGATGAGAGTTCGAAAGAATTTCTGTGAAGTCTTCATAATCATCCATCTCTTCAGGAAGTTCCAAGAACACTTGCTGCCTTCCCAGCATGAATGCTACTTGCATCCTTACCTTGGGAGAAAAAATAAAAATAAGTACTGTATATTACTTTAACACCAATAACCTACTTCTTGCAAATGTAAGCAACACAATGACAATGTGAACCGAGATGAACATCAACAACTGTAGTCTAAAACTACTTGTCTACACATGGCCAGTACTCTTATTTATGACATGTAACAAAGCACTCCTACCTCTTACCACTTTTATACTTATTTACACAAAAATTATCTTACTGGGAATTAAACACCCATCCATTTAACCACTGTGCTGCGCGGCCTCAAAATATGACATTCCTACTGTGCGCCGAAAATAAATTCCTTGCAAACAATTAGTGGTACCGCGAATAATGATCGCCTCAAATGGCAAACATTTTGGGTAACGAACGGCCCGATCGCCGACAATTCGTCTCGTGTGGCGACCGCTCGTTTCAATAACGACGACACCACATGGTGGGGTCGCGCTGCTTCTTGCACATTCTCGGACGCCTCTGACGATGCAAATAAATTATGTTGTTTTTGTTTAAAGATGCTAATGATGCTGGGATATAAAGGGGTGACTGCTGAGATGTTGCAAAGCAATGACTTTTTTGTAGAACAAAAGAAATGAATTTTTTTGAAAAACAATGAATGAATATCAAAAAGGTTCGTTCGGTGGTCGCCAGGTAAGCTACTCCATGTTTCTTAAATAAAAAGAGACAATAAAAATAAAAGACGGTTGAAAAAATTTGAAAAACGGACAAATGCCTTAAAGGTTCGTTCAGTGTTTGTTGGGTAGGCTGCTCCATTATCGAGACAAAAATGAAAAATACAAAACAAATGGAACACATTTGAAACAAAGAAAGATTGCTGTAATGGAGCAGCCTACCCGACAAACACTGGACAAACCTTTATGGCATTTGTCTTTTCTTTCTAATTTTTTCAACTTTTTTATTTATTTATTTAAGAAACATAGAGCAGCCTACCTTGCGACCACCAAACGAACCTTTTTGACATTTGATCTGTTCTTCAAATTTTTTTTTTTTTTTTTTTATGTAACCCTTAAACTGGGCATGGCATATATATATACACCATAAGTAACATGTCCCACTGTGCGAATGGTGTATATACACACCATAGGGTGCCAGGCACGATTCAAATGGCCTGCGGCTACACGGGGTTCATATTAGCTTCCTCAGGGGTCTTGTAAACAGATGCCATGTTTAAAAAAATTCGTTGGCAATATTCTCTGGTGTGAGAGCCACAGTACTGTTGGAGCAACCAAGGCTGGTGCACGCAGCATAAGCTAACAGCATTGCTGTTCAGCTTGTGACCACAACATCGCCTAAAAATACCAAAATAAATAGGTAACTGCTATTATTTAGCGATGACAGTATTACAGATGACCCCTGACTGTGATAAAAATGACCAGGATTGTGATAATAGCAGGATTGTTGTGATAATTAGCGCTGAGGGAGGAGTGATGCTAAGGGAGTGAGGGAGGTAGCGTCGTTTACTGACTGTGTGGCCACCTGTTATTGTCTGCATTCACTATACCAGCTCAGTGGTTCTCTATGGTGAACACAAATGTAGATACTTATATATAATGTGTGTATTAGTGTAATAACACTGCAAACAGTATTGTTGGGAGAGAAATTTTAGTGCGCTTGACCTTGAATGAGTGAGGGAGGAAGCCGCCAGCTCTGAGTAGCGACGTCTCTTAGTGCCTGAACTAACTATATCAGCTTAGTTGTACATTTGTGGTGAACAAAACATGTAGATACTTATATATAACGTCTGTATATAGTGTAATAACACCAAAAACGGTATTGTTGGAGGAGAAATTTTAGTGCGCCTGACCTTGAATGAGTGAGGGAGGCAGCCGCCAGCTTTGTGTAGCAACGTTTCTTAGTGCCTGAACTAACTATATCAGCTTAGTTGTACAGTTGTGTTGAACAAAACATGTGATATTTATATATAACGTCTGTATATAGTGAATAAAATAAAAAACAGGATGGTGGGAGGAGAAAGTGGGCAAGTGAGGCATTGTTGAGGGAGTGGTAACGAGTGGCTGGCTGGTGTGTGGCGGTCACTCCTCGTTGCTTTTTGACTCATAATACCAACTTAGTGGCTCGTTGTGGTGAACAAAACATGCAGAGACTTGTAAATAACCTGTGTATAGAGTGTAATAACAGTAAAACTATTTGTTTATTGTTTTATGAACATAATAATTGAATCACTAATATGCACACCATACTTTTGAGTATAGCGATGATTCACCCGTTTTATTATATAAATCTATCACACTACACACTATTGAATAATATTACTGCAAAAAAAACTAAGAAAAAATCAATCGGAGACACTGAAATAATTAGGTAATATCATCATTGTGGCAACTCCCACCTGTCAGTTTGGGTGACGCTGACCGTCACTGACGACTGCTCTGTCAACCCACACATTTTGCCAGACTTCCTCGCCCTATTGCGCCCAAAATATGTCACCTACAATTTATTTTCCTGTGCTCAGGGAACACAAATTAACATTTTTAGAAGACGAAATAATTTTTTAGAATTTTTTTTTTTTGTGCACAGGGATGCAAATCTCCTCAGGACCCCTTCGCAGCTTAAGAAACATGGAGCAGCCTACCTGCCTAACACCGAACGAACCTTTTGCTATAAGACAAATTTAAAAAACATTGAACAAATTTGAAGAAAGAAAAATGTCATAAAGGTTTCATATATAACAGGCTTCACAAATCCTGGCTGCCTAATACCATTGCAGTCTTACTCAAAGGACAATTACTGGACCTTAATAACAGGATGATCGAGACAAATTTACATTCAGACAAGTTAGACAAAATCCCATACACGTGGTCAGCCATGTGACCAACACTGGTGAGGGACTTAGCTCAGCCACACTGACGTGAGTGTCAGCTCTCCTCCAGTCTTAACACTTTCGCGCTCTCGGCGCTCAAAAAAAAACAATACCCCAGATGCTTTCGGCACTTCGCGCGCCTACGCGGTAAGACCGAAAAAGTGTACACTCTTTTGACTGTCCTGACAATAATTGAAGGCGCACGTATTTAAATTTGGTATCACTGTGTTCGCAATGAAATTGTCTATAAGAGCATACCTATAAAATGCCGCCCAAGCATAAGGAGTATCAACACCAAATAAAAAACTATGCAGATCACTCGCCGAGAGCGCCAAACAGCAACAAAATGTTTCCACTCTCTTAATGGTTGCGAAGCCTACAGTTGTCCTACATCGCTAATTTTGGTATCATTGGAATCGCAATAAAATTCTCTACACGGACATATGCATATGAATGTTTAATATAGGTAATTGCCCACCTGCAAGAGTGTGTGAAGTGGAGAGTAGTTAGCCGCGAGCGCACTGGCGAAAACACAGGGGGGAAATCATGCTTGGAAAGTTTATACGTTTCCTGACCCTACTTTTCTATGTACGTATTTCTTTTTTATACCAATGTGTTCGCAATAAAATTTTCTATAAGATGAACTGTATAACATTTGTACAAAGCATGTGTAAGAGAAGCGCCAAATATAGAACCACGTCGCTCAGTATGCGTTCGCGGCAGAAACGAACGCATTGTTTTCGTTCGTTTGATGTTTGTCATGTTTATACTTGTTGAAACATTTTATAATTTGTATGACAGTGATCGCAGTAAAATTCCCTACACAGACATATACATAACACATACAAATATTTCCCACGTGTTGGATATATCAACGGCTAAAGGGAACCCACTGCCACACGCTCGCCACACCCCCAAACATACTTTGTGTATTTTTTTTTTTACTCAGAGAAGTTTATGTGATATAATATGCATTCTGGTACCAAAAAATTCGCAAATAAATTCTCTACAAAACAAAAGTATCCCCATCCATTTCGGTTAAAAAATGGAATTTATAGAAATATTTTTTCGATTGACGAGAAAAGTAGGCAGTTATGCGGAATCGTAAGAAAAACCAGTGACGAGTTATCTCTAATCGAAAGCGCGAAAGTGTTAACTGGCTCATCCTAACAGGTACCACACACTGACGTGAGTGTCAGCTCTCCTCCAGTCTTAACTGGGTGAGGGACTTAGCTCAGCCACACTGACGTGAGTGTCAGCTCTCCTCCAGTATTAACTGGGTGAGGGACTTAGTTCAGCCACACTGACGTGAGTGTCAGCTCTCCTCCAGTCTTAACTGGGTGAGGGACTCAACTCAGCCACACTGACGTGAGTGTCAGCTCTCCTCCAGTCTTAACTGGGTGAGGGACTTAACTCAGCCACACTGACGTGAGTGTCAGCTCTCCTCCAGTCTTAACTGGGTGAGGGACTTAGCTCAGCCACACTGACGTGAGTGTCAGCTCTCCTCCAGTCTTAACTGGGTGAGGGACTTAGCTCAGCCACACTGACGTGAGTGTCAGCTCTCCTCCAGTCTTAACTGGCTCACCCTAACAGGTACCACACACTGACGTGAGTGTCAGCTCTCCTCCAGTCTTAACTGGCTCACCCTAACAGGTGCCACACACTGACGTGAGTGTCAGCTCTCCTCCAGTCTTAACACTTTCGCGCTATCTGGACGCGCCGGCGCGTTCGGTTTCGTCTAACGTAAACGCATAGTGGACATAAAGTTATGTCAACTTTTAAAATATTTGTATAAAATTCAATTTTTATCCGATTTACTTTGGGTTTGTTTCAAACTGCGCGCTATGAGGCTCTCTTTCTCACCACTAGGCTGCATGGTACAATAAGTTCATGAAAGGTGTGGATAACTTCGATCAAATGGTATTTTCTCCCAAACGGGTTGCAGGTGGGTGACTTTAGCCGTTTATACTGGTAATTCTTCCCCCATATCATGTATTATATGCATATGTCTGTTTAGGGAATTTTATTCCGATCAATATACAACCAAAAATAACTGTGTGCAACAAGTATAATCTTGACAAACATAACAAAAGTAAAAATATTTCGTGTGTGTTTGACGCTCACTGATATGTTCCAGCGTTGTTTTATATTTGTCGCTATTCTAACTTAGGCTTTGTTGATATTTTTTACCTATGGGCACATAGAACATTCTATTGCGAACACATTGACATAAAAATGAATGACGTACATAGAAAATTAATGTCATGAGAGTGAAATAAGTATAAACTTTCAAAGCGCCGTGCGTCGTCCCGTCGCCGATACCGGGTAACAATTTCACCACTTCCCACACTCTTGCGGGCGGGCTGCATCATTATTCTACGCTTATATTCATATCACCGTGTTGGGAATTTCATTGCGAGTCCATTGATACCAAAATTAACGCTGTAGAACAAGTGTGGAGGTGATTACAATCCCAAGAGTAAAAACATTTTGTTGCTGATGGGCGCTCACGGCGAGTCATCTACGTAGTTATTTATTTGGTGCTGGTATCCCTATATGTTTCGTGACTTATTTTACTAATGTTCTTCTAGAGAATTTTATTGCGAACACGTTGGTACCAAAATGAAATACGTAGCATGAGAACTAAGGTCAGAAGAGTAAAAAGAGTATACACATTTTTGTTTTTACGCTTAAGCGATAAAAACGCAGCGCGCACATTCGGTTGGCTGAGTGACCTTTGCGGAGAGCGCGAAAGTGTTAACTGGCTCACCCTAACAGGTGCCACACACTGACGTGAGTGTCAGCTCTCCTCCAGTCTTAACTGGCTCACCCTAACAGGTGCCACACACTGACGTGAGTGTCAGCTCTCCTCCAGTCTTAACTGGCTCACCCTAACAGGTGCCACACACTGACGTGAGTGTCAGCTCTCCTCCAGTCTTAACTGGCTCACCCTAACAGGTGCCACAAAAATAAGAATACATATACAAAATTACAAAGTACTTGCAGAACTTCTTACACATTCTGTCTTTGAGACTAAGTCTCTTACACATTCTCTCTTTGAGACTAAGTCTCTTACACATTCTCTCTTTGAGACTAAGTCTCTTACACATTCTCTCTTTGAGACTAAGTCTCTTACACATTCTCTCTTTGAGACTAAGTCTCTTACACATTCTGTCTTTGAGACTAAGTCTCTTACACATTCTCTCTTTGAGACTAAGTCTCTTACACATTCTCTCTTTGAGACTAAGTCTCTTACACATTCTCTCTTTGAGACTAAGTCTCTTACACATTCTCTCTTTGAGACTAAGTCTCTTACACATTCTCTCTTTGAGACTAAGTCTCTTACACATTCTCTCTTTGAGACTAAGTCTCTTACACATTCTCTCTTTGAGACTAAGTCTCTTACACATTCTCTCTTTGAGACTAAGTCTCTTACACATTCTCTCTTTGTGACTAAGTCTCTTACACATTCACATGCGCGCTGCCTCACCGTCGTTCAACAAGCCTACATTTATTTCAATTTCAACAATTTTAATCGAATAGCTGAAAGGATCATTTTTTTTTTTACAACTATAATCAAATGGAAAAATAAACATTTTTAAACCACCTTTTTTACTTTTGAGGCGAGGAAAGATTTTTCCAAATATTTTCATTTTAGCAGCATGTCAATATAATCAGCTGCAGTTGGAGGTTTCATAAAGTCTAGTTAACACTTACAGTGGACGGGGACACATACTGCGTTCATAAATAACTATGGATGTTGGGCAGGGACGTATGTTGCGTCCAAAATTAAAATATTCTTAAAAAATCCATTTGTTTTCCGATCGTTATGGGACTAGTTTTAAAATGCACTCCTTTAGATTGCGAACAATTTGATACCAAAATGAATGATATAACACAAACAAGGTCGGCCAGGAAACGCCTGGCCGACCTTGGGGTGGGCCTGGGCTCGCGCCAGGCGAGGCAGAGTGTTAAAGAAAATACAATACAGTGTTCTTAAGGATAAGTTTAATAATTAAACATCTTTCAAATCTTACCAACTTATCTGGGCATTCATCAAAGAGCTGCTTGATGAGATCCAGATCATGGAGCTGCAGAGCAAGCCTCATAGCTTGCGGATACTGACCAAATTTACGGTAAAGTTGCAAACTTGTCTGGAGCAGGTTGGTGTTCTCTGGGTCTGGTACATATGGCACACAACTTGTCAAATACAGGCAAACACGATGATATGCATCCTGAAAACAAAATTGATTTTAAAGAAAACCATTTACAAATTAAAATGTTGAATGTAATGAAACATTTTTTTGGAACGAGCCCCAGCAACCCCATCTCAGAGATTGTTCTATGCAAATGTGTCACATCAGATGTGACTGTTCAGTTTGGCTCGCTGGGAACCAGAGCCAACACCTGGCTTCCCTCACAGATGGGGAGCAGTGCGAGTTGCCACGAATTTATCTTCGTGGCATTATTTACAGTCTCTAGGGCATATTTTAGAACCATTTTTCTCCCACTGATATTGTTCAATGTATTGTCACTTCATGTTCCATTATGATACAACTGTCATAAATTCAATACACTCACATACTAGTGTCACAAGTACAGTACAGTATGTGCATAAAAATGTTTTATTTTTAAGGACATATAAAATGTATTATGAATTGTTTTCAAAACAGTATATATACTCACTCACACAATATGTACATGTTTTTGCACCATTATTGGACATTTCAAAGTGCCCGAGACTGTGATACTTGTTGAAACACTTGACACAGCACAAAGGGATGGCACACGCTGGGCACATGTTAGGACCAATTTACGTTTCTGTGGCCTCTTGTATGTGGTCTTACACACAATGCACTCATGCTGGCACACTTTCCAGTTGGTGGTAAATTGCCATGTTTTGTGCGCATCTCAAACACCTCCCTTAGAAAGCGAGCCTGGGTACAAAAGTGTGGTCCAATACTGGCTTCACAATGGGTCTTTGTATGCCAGCAATTAGTTTGCAAAACTTTTCTAGTAATTGTGTCACAACAGTAAAACTGAACACACTGAAATTTTGTTTACCACTGGTTTTCACAAGGTTAACTGTTGAGTATTATAACTATTGAGCATGGTTACTACAAAGTGGAAAAACATCATCTTGTTCCACTTCACTGTTTTCCGTACACACACTACTGCCCCCACTATCATATCACATTTATCCACCAAATACATGTTGATGATATAGTCCATAACACATTCTGACTTATAAATTCTTTGTCTGGTTGTTTTGTTCACCTTGCCACTGTCCACCATTGTACCAGTGTGAATGGTGGTCAACATGTTCACTTTACACCTGACTTTCCACCACCAATAGGATAAGGTGTTCCAGCTGCTCCTTAGTCTCAACCTTCCGAGACGCGCACTATTAAAAAAATAACCATTCTTTAATGCAAGTGAACTCCTTAAAATTGTGCTCTGCTGTTTTCTTAAGGTTACTAAACTTGTGCCGATATGCCACAGACACCAACTGGTAAGTCATCACCACCGCCTTACCTGGTTGATACCTGGTTGATGGGGTTCTGGGAGTTCTTCTACTCCCCAAGCCCGGCCCGAGGCCAGGCTCGACTTGTGAGAGTTTGGTCCACCAGGCTGTTGCTTGGAGCGGCCCGCAGGGCCACGTACCCACCACAGCCCGGCTGATCCGGAACTTCTCTTAGAAAACCGTCCAGTTTTCTCTTGAAGATGTCCACGGTTGTTCCGGCAATATTTCTTATGCACGCTGGGAGGACGTTGAACAACCGCGGACCCCTGATGTTTATACAGTGCTCTCTGATTGTGCCTATGGCACCTCCGCTCTTCACTGGTTCAATCTTGCATTTTCTTCCATATCGTTCACTCCAGTACGTTGTTATTTTACTGTGTAGATTTGGGACCTGACCCTCCAGTATTTTCCATGTGTATATTATTTGGTATCTCTCTCGTCTCCTTTCTAGAGAGTACATTTGGAGAGCTTTGAGACGATCCCAATAATTTAGGTGTTTTATCTCGTCTATGCGTGCCGTATATGTTCTCTGTATTCCCTCTATTTCAGCAATCTCTCCTGCTCTGAAGGGGGAAGTGAGTACTGAGCAGTACTCGAGACGGGACAGCACAAGTGACTTGAAGAGTACAACCATTGTGATGGGATCCCTGGATTTGAAAGTTCTCGTAATCCATCCGATCATTTTTCTGGCTGACGCGATATTTGCTTGGTTATGCTCCCTAAACGTTAGATCGTCGGACATCATTATTCCCAAATCCTTGACATGCTGTTTTTCTACTATGGGAAGATTCGATTGTATTTTGTACCCTGTATTATGTTTCGGATCCTCATTTTTGCCGTACCTGAGTACCTGAAATTTATCACTGTTAAACATCATGTTATTTTCTGCTGCCCAATCAAAAACTTTGTTGACATCTGCTTGTAGTTTTTCAATGTCTTCAGCAGAGGTAATTTTCATGCTGATTTTTGTGTCATCTGCAAAGGACGACACGAAGCTGTGGCGTGTATTTTTGTCTATATCAGATATGAGAATAAGGAACAGTAGCGGTGCAAGGACTGTTCCTTGAGGTACAGAGCTTTTAACATCGCTTGGATTCGATTTTATCTGATTGACTGTTACTCTTTGTGTTCTGTTCGACAGGAAATTGAGTATCCAGCGTCCTACTTTTCCAGTTATTCCCATTGACCTCATTTTGTGAGCTATCACCCCATGGTCACATTTGTCGAACGCCTTTGCAAAGTCTGTGTATACAACATCTGCATTTTGCTTTTCTTCTAGAGCTTCTGTGATTTTGTCATAGTGGTTGAGTAACTGTGACAGACAGGATCTTCCCGCTCTAAATCCATGTTGTCCTGGATTGTGCAATTCATTGTTTTCCATAAAACTAGAAATTTGATTCCTAATCACTCTTTCAAACACTTTTATTATGTGTGATGTTAGTGCAACTGGCCTATAATTTTTTGCCAAGGCTTTACTCCCCCCTTTGTGCAACGGAGCTATATCTGCAGATTTAAGTGCTGCTGGTATCTCCCCTGTATCCAGGCTCTTTCTCCATATTACGCTGAGTGCTCTCGCTACTGGTACTTTACATTTCTTTATGAATATTGAATTCCATGAGTCAGGCCCAGGAGCTGAGTGCATAGGCATATTATCAATTTCTCTTTCAAAGTCTTCCGAGTTTGTGGTAATATCCGTTATATTATCTGCAGCTTGAATGTCATTCATAAAGAAGCTGTCTGGGTCATCAACTTTCATGTTGTTTATTGGTGTGCTAAACATAGCCTCATACTGGCTTCTTAGAATTTCACTAATCTCTTTGTTGTCCTCTGTGTACGTACCTTCATTTGTAATTAACGGTCCAATACTGGTCGAGGTTTTGGATTTTGATTTTGCGTATGTGAAAAAATATTTCGGATTTTTCCTTATCTCTTGTATAGCTTTCTGTTCCAATTCCATTTCCTCAGACTCATATGATCGCTTCAACGTTTGTTCTATTTCCTCAATCTCCCTGCTTAGGCTTGTTTTCCTTGCTTGTGATAGTTGTGTCTGCCGAAGCATTTCCGTTATTTTTTTCCTTCTCCTGTACAGTCGTCTCCGTTCTCTTTCTAGAGTGGTCCTCTTTCTGCCCCTCCTCACAGGCACGTGCTTCAAGCAGACCTTGTAAGCTTCAGCTGTCAGTTGAGCTATTCCCTGTGTGGGAGTTTTGTCGCTTAAGACCGTCTCCCATTGAATGGTTGCAAGGTCTACATTTATTTTTTCCCAGTCAATCCTCTTATTGTTGAAATTGAATTGATTGAATATTCCTTCTCCCTTGTTTGGTCTCTTAGACCTACTACCGTTATTTATGCTAGTTCGCACTTCAATGAGCTTATGGTCTGAGTATGAAGTATCTGAGATTGTGATATCCCTGATTAGTTCATCATTGTTTGTGAATAACAAGTCTAGTGTGTTTTCGTTCCTAGTTGGTTCTGTAATCTGTTGATTACAGAACGCCTTCGTCACAGCGTCACAGTCATTCCAGTCACTTACTGACAGTGTGGATTACGCTGTTTGGGCTTTCCCAGTCAGCACGGCTTGAATCATAATAGTCCAATGAGGCAGCTACTTTCTCAGAGGTAGTAAAGAACCTGAACACCACTTTTTCATTGAATTTAGACACCACTTTTATATTCTGCACTGAATCAAAACCACTGGATTCTCTTCCACCACCTAATCTTAGCACTTCAAATTCGTGTTACCTATCTTTTTCTTCCCTTTCTCTCCTTTCTTGTCTCTTGCCTTTCTCTTTCCTTTTCTTCTTTCTCTAATTCTATCTTTTTCCATTCTGCCATCTAGAAAGGGTAGCTTCCCATTACTCTCCATCTCTTAAGTGAAACTTAATACCAAACTCTTGCTCAAATACCTCCTTCAACTGCTGCAAATGCCCGACATCAGGTACCTGCATAAATATGTTGTGAACATACCTGCAGTATATGGAAAGTTTTAAGTCCATGTCAACTAGGACCCTTCACTCGATACCCATGTAAAAATTCACGAATAGGACACCTAGGGGAGAACCCACGGCGACCCCCATCCACTTGTTATTACATGTGCCCCTCGGGGCTCAGGAAGGGTCTCTCTTTAGTGCAAGCTTCGAGTAATTTCCTCAGTATGACCTCTGCTATGTCCAGAGGGGTACAAGCCGGATTGCAATACACACTGTCCATCATCATCCCGATTGTTCACCAACGTGCCGATAGATGAAGCAGAGGACCGACTCCTTCCACGTACTATTGTTGGAAGCAGTCTATGTCTGCCATCTACCAGGTCATGTACCCGGAAAGGAAGGAATCCTAAAAAAAACTACAGCTGGTTAAACATTGCAATCCAAAAGCAGAACTAGCAAGCAGAATTCCCCAATCGGAAAACAAGCGCGCCGCTGCCTACGCAACTCCCCCCCTCCCCGGGAGGGGGATTGGGCGGTCCCAGACATCCCGAACTGGGTACCCAACCCCAGTTCAGTGGCTGAATATCAAAAGCCCTTAGCCGCCAACCCGAGGAAGGGAGGGAGAGAGGGTTTCCGGGGAGCCTCCAGGTCTCACCCAGAAAATAGCGTTTCATTACATTCAACACTGGTTTTTTGTGGCGAGCCCCTCTGGCTCCCCAGAGCTACCTAACCAAAAATTAAGGAAAAAGAAGGACTTACCTAGGAGGCGGCTGCCACTCGCTCCACAACTCTTAAGTCAAGACAACAAGCTGCAACCTGCGACCACCAAGTTGCAGGATTTGACCACCGTCAAAAAGGCTACACACGCCCGAGAAGGGCCAGGAACATTAATGAGGTACCGTGCAGCCAGGACCGTGTTTGACCTCCAAAAGTCAGTGTGCCCGAATGTCAGCCCAAGACATATTATCAAAAACAGAAGCTAAAGCCGTGAACTTACAAACATCGTGGGCACAAGGATAGACCGCAGGCTGACTGGACCGAATAATCCTTTGAATGACCTTGGAGATCCGCTCCATAGAACAAGGAAAAAGGAAAAAAGGGAAACCGGGTCAACCCAAAGCGCGTCAACCTGCCACGCAGCCTGTGGCATGAAAGTAACGGCAAAGAGCCACAACTGGAAACAAAACATGGTACACCCCCAGCTGAACCAAGTATCAAAAAACCCAAGGACACCATCGGAAAGCAGCAGTCTCATTCATAGCCAGAAGAGAAGGATACGGCTGCAAACGAACAAAACTACCACCTGGACCAAAAGAGCAGAAATCCCTACGCTGGAGGAGAGCATGAAGCTCCCTGACCTGACCCCAAGCGGCCAATGCCAACAAGGAAAAAAAAAAAAAAAAAAAAAGCCTTAGAAAAACAGTCCTGAACTGAAGAGGCCACGACAAACCGAGAAGAGAGAAAAGAGAGCACCTGGTCCAATGACCAGGACGGCTCAGGCAGTGCATAAGCAGGCCGGAGGTGAAATAATGCCCTAGAAAGCTTGCGGAACGGAGCAGAAGTAACATCCACGCTGAATGCAAGCTGAAGCAGCTCCACCAGCATCACATAATACAAGGCGACAGTACTCGGCATAAGATGACGGTCCTGAAACAACCAAGGGAGAAAGGCCAAAACAACCTGATCAGAAATCGAAGACAACCTACAAAGAGTCAAGTAATGCCGAAAGAACTGTCAGGAAACTTCATCCTGCCGCCAAGCGACTCGCAGGTAGGACACCATCAACGAAGCCACTATATCACCATACAAGTAGTAATAAGCCCGTGTAAAAAAGACCAGACGCAAAGATCGAAGATCGAACCAGCCACATACCGAACCGATCTGCTGAATGAGACAAAGCCGCAGGAAGACTCTCGGGTTCGGACGCCGAACAAGCAGCGCCTAAAACCAAGGCTAGGCTGGCCACCAAGGGGCCAACAGGACTACTCTCCCCTGGTAAGTCTCCTGGTAAGAGGGAATCAAATGGGACTTCCTACAGTTCACTAAGAACCCGAACCCGGCGAGCAGACACATGGACCAGTTGGAAACCCAGACCAGCCAGTCATCGAGGTAAGCCAGAACCCGAACCCCTAATAATTGCAAACGGATCACCATGACCTGTGAAGGTGTGTAAAAAAGTGAAGTGCTAGATTCAAGCCGAATGGAAGGCAATGAAAGCGGTAAGCTTGCCGCCTCACAACACAACCTAGCCAATTCCTGAACCACAGATGAATCAGGAGGTGCCAATACACATCCCGGAGGTCCAGGAACAACATCCAAGCACCCAGCTCCAAAAGCAGCCAGACCTGGGACAGAGTGGTCATCCGTAAGGAGGGGCAAAAAACCCCAGGGTTTCAGACGAGACAAGTCCAGAATGAACCTCAGGTCCGCACAGTCCCGTTTCGGAACTAGAAACAGGAGGGAAACCCACCTGAGGGACGCCGTTGTTTCGACCATGCCCAAGCATACCCACTCCATGATGACCTGAGAGAGCACAGGGAAAGAGGCTTGCCCTGCCCTAACAGTGGACTGGGTGAATTCGATTACAAGCCAGGAGCACCACTCGCATGACTCCGGATCAAAGGAGTCATTGACCCAATAGGCAGCATGACGAAGGCAAGGACAGTGAGTGTCGCCCTGAAACAATGGGACAGAGCAACCTTCAAACTCCCACTCGGACTCAAAGGACGCATCCATTTGACCAATGAGCCCCAATGGGGGTGTCCAGGACTCTTAGGCTGACTGCTAATGGAAGCCCAGGCAAGGTACTGCTAACTGGTTATCCCAGAACTACCTAACAATCAAAATGCTGAACCCCTGTGACGTATGCAATCACAGGGACCTAGCAGAGGGCCACCAAAATCATACAAGTGGTCCAACAGCTACATCAGGCAGACCCCCCCCCCCTCCCACCAGGCAATACAAAAGAAACACCCTGAAAAAGCACATCTCCAGGAGGAACAGAACCAGCCACTATGCATACTATAAGACATCTGCACAGTACCTTGCGCCCCTGTCAGCAACGATACTATCTCCTACCCAAGGCCAAACAGGGATAGGAAAAGACCACAGCTGACCCCAAGGACAGGCAATCACCGAGCAACAAAAGAACCCTCCGGAGGTAGTCCCATACAGTTTGTGGAAGGTAACCCCAAACTGCCAGGGCAGTACTTACAGGGCACCTAGGGAAGGGAACCCTAGGCACATACAGCCCCAGTACTTATGGAGGCACCTGGCTTGCACACTACCACACTGCAGCACAACACCACAAGGCACAGCACAGCACTGCTTGAAGATTGGAGCCAGAGTCGATCGACCGCCACCCAACACAACAGCCTCAGACTGGGGTTGGGTAGCTGGCATGGGAGGTCTGGGACCCCCCCCCCTTTCCCCTCCCAGGAAAGTTGTGCAGACAGCGACGTGGCGGCTGAGGTGACATCATGCTTGTTTGCTTGTTTTCCGATTGGAGAGTTCTACTTGCTCATTCGGCTTTCGGTTTGCAATGTTTAACCAGCTGTAGTTTGTTTTGGGATTCCTACCTTTCTGGGTGCCTGACCTGGTAGATGGCAGACATAAACTGCTTCCAACTACATGGGTGTGTCTGTAAGTCAATGCTCCTCGTGCCTCTCTGAGGGGGGCCGGGTTCTGGCTCGTGCTCCCCGGTAGGCTAAGAACTCATCGAGTGACTGTTGCCACGGTCTAATATACACACACATCAGCCCGGGATAACTCCGGGGAGCCGGAGGGGCTCTTCACAGAAAATAATAAATTTACTTTAACCATATTTGAAATTTCCTACCTCTGGCAGACTATAAACACAATTATCTCCCAAAAATTTTGGTCAGGTAGATTTAAGGTTCTGGAACACGAACCATATTTTAGTGGCTGTTCTAATTTTCAGAGGAAATAACAGCAGTGACTATCATGGCACAAGAGTACATCACATGGATGAAAAATTATGGCATAGGCCATAAAAATGCTACCAGTTGTTCGTGGCAGTATTACTAAATATTTGTCAACAAAATGTTTCATTGGTGGCAGTGCAAGGGATAATCTTACTAGCTAAATTAAGTCAAACCAATCAACGTTGGATTAAAGATAAAGTAACTACCTAAGTTCATGTAATACATTCCTACATTTAACTTTTCAATGTGGACTGGACAAAATATCCGACATACATCTACATAGTTCTCACCTTATCTACATAATCCTGAGAAGTGAGAAGATCTAACTGTTCCATTTCCATAAGAAGATCACAAGCTTCTGCCTCAGCATTATGTTGCATGTGGTAAGGGACAATAACGTGGGCTTCGCTAATTAGTTCAGCCCGTCGAGCATCATCATCTTCTCCGAGGGTTTCCCATTCTTGGGCAATGTCACCTGCCAGATGCCTAAAGAGCAACAATAAACAGTAATACTATACATTAATACAATAACAAATCCATGGAAAATATTACCTGCAGCCAAACTTAAGATCTACTGTAGAGAAGAAATGTGTATACGTTGAAGGAACTGTAACACTTCAATTATACTATTTCAAGTACAGTGTATGTTATTAGCATTAACATACACATTCTAATCCTATTTCTTTATCACTCTTTCTTAGTGTTAATTATTACAGCTCATAATAAATATTGAAAGAATACTCAAAATATAAATATTAAAAAATATTATATATATATATATAAAAATAAATATAAAGTACATGTGTTCCACTACACGTGAACAAAAGCATTTACCAAGGAATTCTCACAACCAAAGTGTAATTTTTTGCCATCACACCTCAGTGTTGGCCCTGTTCCCATATTGGCTCAAAATGGCACTAAACAAAATATTTATATTTGATATTACATTTCTAGGATATATAAAAAAAAACAGCGTTGAATGTAATGAAACGCCTTTTTCTGGGCGAGTTACCGAGGCTCCCCAGATCTATCCAGGCTGAATGGATATGTATAACTTTCTGGCATCAGTCAATGCATGGAGTTCTTGCCTACCGGGGACCACGAGCCAGAATCTGGCGCTCTCTAGAGAGGCACGAGGAGCAATGGCCTATAGACTCCCCCCCCTTTTATTATTGGGAGCATTCTATGTCTGCCATCGACCGGGATAGGTTGAACCCCTATTCTGGTAAAACTATTGCGACTGAAGACCGAACAAGTGGACACAACTTCCCAAACGAAAACTAAAAACTAGCAAACGAGCATGACGTCATCACTTTGACGCGCCGCTGTCTGCGCTACCCCCCCCCCCCCCCGGGAGGGGGAAGGGGCAGCCCTAGACCTAACCACCGGCGACCCACCCTACAGCTCTTAGGCTGGATGTCAAAAACCTGAAAAACACCGCTGACTGGAGGGGAGGGAGGGAAACCGGGAAGCCTCTGGGACTCGCCCAGAAAATGGCATTTCATTACATTCAATGCTGGTTTTCTGGGGAGAGCCCTGTCGGCTCCCCGGAGCTAACTACCCAAAGGTAAGGAAAAACAGGGACTTACCCGGGAGGTGGTCCGTCCTCACTCCTCAACGCTAAGTAGAGACAACTGGCTGCAACCGCCGACCCAATGCAACGCAGGCCCACCTAGGACCAGGAACATTCAAAAGGTAGCGAGTGGCCAGGACCCTGTTCGACCTCCAAAAACCCCGGGCCCGAATGTCCACCCACGACATGTTGCCAAAGACGGCAGCCAAGGCAGCAAACTTATGAACGTCGTGGGCCAGGGGATAGACCGCAGGCTGGCTAGATTTAATAACCGTGCGGACAACCTGAGACCCGAGCCCGGGAACAGGGAAGAAGGGAAACCGGGTCCATCCAGAGTGCACTCCCAGCAACCGAAGTTGTGGTGCGCAAGATTAGCTGCCCCTTCCCACTCCCGGGGAGGGGGGAAAGGTTGCGCAGACAGCGGCGCGGCAACGTGATGACGTCGTGCTCGTTTGCTAGTTTTCATTTGGGGAGTTCTGTCCACTTGTTCGGTCTTCGGTCGCAATAGTTTTACCAGAATAGGGGTTTGTTTTGGGGCACCTACCTTTCTGGGTGGCAGACATAGAATGTCTGCCATTGAGACGGTCGATAGCAGACATAGAATGCTCCCAATAATAAAGGTGGGGTCTCTTTGCATTGCGGAGGAGCATGAGGCACGAGGAGCATTGCTCCTCGTGCCTTGGGTTATGGCCCCATTTTGGGGCCTTAACCACAAAATGCTGTAAATGAACCAGCAATGCTGTAAATGAACCAGCAATGCTGTAAATGAACCAGACACGTAAACTTTCCCACATGTTGTGATCACTGACCTAGCATCCCGTCAACTTTCCCACATGTTGTGATCACTGACCCTGCATCCCGTCAACTTTCCCACAGGTTATGATCACTGACCCTGCATCCCGTCAACTTTCCCACAGGTTGTGATCACTGACCCTGCATCCCGTCAACTTTCCCACAGGTTGTGATCACTGACTCTGCATCCCGTCAACTTTCCCACATGTTATGATCACTGACCCTGCATCCCGTCAACTTTCCCACAGGTTGTGATCACTGACTCTGCATCCCATCAACTTTCCCACAGGTTGTGATCACTTAGCCTACATTCTAAGCAAATTACCAATCACTCATTTTACCAAAAACTTGTTCTACAACGTAGGCGAGTAAATTTAGAGTGCAAAATACAAACTGCAACACTAGATTCACTGAAGCTTGCAGTCTATTGGAATCAGTATAAGAATTGGTCCAAATATTAGTAACAATATTCCTTTTATCACATGCATTTGCATGTTGCAATGTACAAAGCAACATCAATTAAAAAAAACGGGATTAGGATGCAAGCGAGAGAATTTGAGAAGTATCCTTTCCAATTTAGGATGTAATCACTTGTGATATTTAGTTCTCTCCAACAGATAGCAGCATTTATTGGAGGAGATTTGAAGGCCAGAAGAGGTCTAACATTACAACTTTTGGAAACTATTTTCAAGGTACTGTACCTGAATCAAAGTCACTTATTGCAGACAACACCTTTGTACACAAGTCGACTACTTTCGACAGTCACAGCGGCAGGGTAAAGTCCAAAGTAAAGTCTTAAATGTATTAAATAACCGGACTGTAAACAATTGAATTATGTTGTAAAGATAAATAAAATCAAACTTTAATATACTAACCTGACATACTCGTGACCCCAGTCACCTACGTCACCACGCTGGCCCAGAAGACGGTACTTAAGACACTCGCGTTCCTCGGACATGGTCATGGCCAATACCGATACAATATCTGCAGTAAACTTCTTCAACTTGCTTTCCTTTATTTTGTCATATATGTCCTATAGAGAAGAAACGATCTAATTCAGTGAAGCACAAGTGATCAATACACAAGACAATTTAACCAAATAAACAAACACGTTTAAATGGACAGTATATGTTTTGATACAATACTCCTTACATTACAGCATTGGAGAGCATGTTATACCCATCATACAGTACAGTACTTGTCGAAAGTATCGCATCCCTGCTTGAGGCGGCACTCACTTATACAGTAAAAACAGCACTGAATGTAATGAAATGGCAATTTCTGGGGAAGCCCTAGAGGCTCCCTGAAGATATTATATACTGATCAGTATCATACTATCAGGTGCCATCAGCCATGGCATTCCTATTGGTCTACCGGAGACCATGAGCCTGAACATGGTCCCCTCAGAGAGGTGCATGGAGGAATGGCCTATGAAAACGTTAAATGTAAAGTATAATCATACTTGCGAGTTACCGAAATGGACAAAATATTTTGTCCAGGAAAGCATTCAGAAAGGTAGGCAAACCAAAACAAACTACTGCATGGTTTGAAAACAAGACCATAACCTGAAAACTGCCAAAAGAACTACCCAACAATTAGAACAACCCCCAAATTTACTTGAAGCCATCGCTGGCCAGTTAGCCCCACCGTCCCTCCCTTGTTTGGGGGAGAGGAGGGAGGCATACCGGGTCAGCCGGCTCACATCAACCTCAGTTTGAAGTTGATGAACCATACCAATGCCCTGGGGGAGGGGCTGGTGTCAGGGAGCCTCCGGGCTCACCCAGAAATTAGCATTTCATTACATTCAATGCTGGTTTTCTGGGGGGAGTCCCACTGACTCCCTGAAGCTAAATACCCAAATAGAAGTAAAGGAAAAAGGCACATAACAGGGAGGAGGGAGCACCACAGGTATCACCCCGAAGAAGAGACACGCAGCCACAACACACGCCCCAAAGCAACACGACACTGCTGAGACCAGGGATTGTGACAAGATACCTGGTCGCCAAGACCACATTCTACTACCAAAACCCTTGCGCCCCAATATTGGCTCCATACTCACCAATGCTGTGAGTATGCCATAAGAGTGGCATACTCACAGACAGCAGGAGCATGAGGGTAAACTGCAGAACTAGGCAAGCATCAACAACTAAAAGGACCCCTCCTGAAGCCAGCCGAGACAATCTTCGCCAGAAAGAAAGAGCTGGCTGCAACTGAACAAAATGCCCACCAGGGCCATGGAACTAAAACCCCAGCGATGGAGGAGTGCAATAAGCTTACCCCGGCGACGAAGGAGAACAGAAGCTGGCTCCCCTGACAACCAGAAGCCAAAGAAGCAACATAGCTACCAAAAAAAAAACAATTCCAGACGGAAGGAGCTCCCATAAAACGAGCAAAAAGAGAAGAAAGAAGGAACCCGGCCAGAGACCAGACAGGCTCAGGCTGCGCATGAGCAGGCCGGAGATGAAACAGTGTGAGAAGCATGCAAAACGGGGCCAATGACTCGGCAACCCTGAACACAAACAGGAGCAGCTCCGCCAACACAGCATGAGAAGAGGCAACACTAATTTGTCAAAAGGTGCCAACCAAAAACAGCCAAAAAACCAGCATTGAATGTAATGAAACACCATTTTCTGGGTGAGCCCCAGAGGCTCCCTGGAGCTTATCGGGTTAATGTATGTTATATTAGACCGCGACATTAGCTAAGGAGTTCAAACCTACCAGGGACCAGCACCAGAACCTGGCCTCTTCAGAGAGGTTTCAGGGAGCAATGGCCCTGGAAAACCCCCTTGTGGTTGGGGTTTTCCTTATCTGCCATCGACCGGAGTTAGGCACCCAGAAAGGTAGGCATAACTAAACAAACCCCACATGGTAAAAAACTAAAACAAAAAACCGAACAGAGGTAGAAACTCCCTACAATCCCAAGGAAACAAGCAAACAAGCAAGCATCACACTTTACTGCCACACTGATTGTCCGCGCAGCCCTCCCCGCCCCGAGTGGGGGAGGGGGGGAGCCCTGGAACTCACCGTGCAGGCTTCCTAGCATCAATTCAGAAGCTAAGCTTCAACCAATGCGAAAAAAACGCAGACTGGTGGAAGGGTTGCCAGGGAGCCTCCAGGGCTCACCCAGAAAATGGCATTTCATTACATTCAACGCTGGTTTTCTGTGGGGAGCCGCTACGGTTTCCGGGAGCTTCATACCCAAAGAGAAGGAAAAGAAAGGGCTGAACCGGGAGGCGGCCGCCACAAACTCCGCTACGCGAAGACAAGACAACAGTCTGCAACCAACGCAACAAGAATGCACAGGAGCAGACACGCGTATAAAGAACGGGCGGCCAGGAACCTGTACGACCCTCAAATCCTTGCGTCCGAAATGAGCCCGGGAAGACCGGGCAAGGTATTGCTAACCGGTTAACACCCAAAACTAACAAGGGGTAGATGACAACACTGAAAACCCCTGCGACGTGTACAATCACGGGGCCTAGCAGAGGGCCATCAAACACTACCAGTGGAACTATAGCCACGCTAGGCAGACCCCCACAAGGCAAATGAAAATGAAAACGAGAAAAAACATGCAAAAGTACACCATCCCCAGAGGCCGTAGGAACCGGCAGCCGCATAGGTAGCAAGTCACGAAACACCTTGACGCCCTAACCAGCACAATACCAGTCCCTATCCAAGGCCAAACAAGGGCCCCAAGCCCCAGCTGGCCCCAAAAGCAAGGCAAATGCCAAGCAGCAAGAACCTGTACGGGAATGGTTCCCGAACGCCCCAGGGAAGATAGCCCTGTCACGCAGGGGCAGTACTCACAGGGCGCTTAGGGAAGGAAGCCCCCAAGCACATGCAGCCCCGGTACTGATGAGGAACACCCGGCCACCGCACAACACAAAACACGGCAGTGAGTGCCACGAAGGCAAACACCACCTAGGAAACCGAAGCCAGAGAAGCGTCTGTCCCGGTTGGCATTAGCTTACGAACTGGTGCTAGGCAGCCGGCGCGGTGAGGTAAGGGGGCCCCCCCCCTCCCCCTCTCGGGGCGGGGAGGACTGCACGGACGAGCGGCGCAGTAGTGATGTGTGATGTTTGCTTGTTTCCTTGGGATTGTAGGGAGTTTCTACTTCTCTGTTCGGTTTTTGTTTTAGTTTCTTACCATGTGGAGTTTGTTTTGTTATGCCTACCTTTCTGGGTGCCTAACCTTGGTCGATGGCAGATAAGGAAAACCCCAACCACAAGGGGGTTTTCCAGGGCCATTGCTCCCTGAAACCTCTCTGAAGGGGCCAGGTTCTGGTGCTGGTCCCTGGTAGGTCTGAACTCCATAGCAAATGTCCCGGTCTAATATAACATACATTAGCCCGATAAGCTCCAAGGAGCCGTAGGGGCTCCCCACAGAAAGGGAGGAAGAACTGAGCCCTAGAAAAAACGGATCCAGAACTCCAGCGGGGCACACACGAGGTATGCATGAAGGGCATCCCAAGCCTCGACTATCGAAACCCGGGAGGAAGAACCTACGAAAGGATGAGTTCGAAGAACCTAAAGGCCCACGGAAACGAGCCCAGGGAAACGGGGAAGCAGCATCCAACTCGTGCACACACAGGAGAAGAGGAAGAGGAAGAAACCCCTCGCCTCAGCATGGAAAGACCCATTGCAAAAGGCATGAAAGTCAACAACAGCAGGGGGCCACGGGGCAGAGCTCTCATCCATATCCACTACCCGAGATAGAAAATCGGAGTCCAAGGAAAATGCTTCAATGGAAGAGGTCGGCTGAGAAAACCCAGAAGCTTTGGGAAGACAGAGATGGTGAACTGCCGCTGTGCTTGCATCAGAAGGGGCCAACCTCGGATCGACCCGAGCTAAATCCTGCCTCAAAACCGAAGCCCTCAGACACTTTGAAGCTAGAAGCAGGGGGATAGGAGAAGGGCAAAACTGACCCACCTAAGAAAGAAGAGGTTATCTTGAGGTTATCTTGAGATGATTTCTGGGCTTTAGTGTCCCCGCGGCCCGGTCCTCGACCAGGCCTCCACCCCCAGGAAGCAGCCCATCACAGCTGACTACCCAGGTACCTATTTACTGCTAGGTAACAGGGGCATAGGGTGAAAGAAACTCTGCCCATTGTTTCTCGCCGGCGCCCGGGATCGAACCCGGGACCACAGGATCACAAGTCCAGTGTGCTGTCCGCTCGGCCGACCAAGGTATGGACAGAATCAGGGTAGAGTTGATAAAAAATATTTGAAACCCTAATACTAAGCAGGGCAGATCCAGGGCATCCAACCTGCCATACAACCGAGACCGCTGCAAAATTTAAAACCTGAAATACCAAGTGGTCAGTGCCTGAAACTTCTGAACTGCAACAGAGGAGAGGGTAGCTAAAGCACATGAGGAAAACAAGTCCCACAAGACGTGGGTGTCAATGTCCCAACAGGCAGTACAGCTGAGGCAGACTGAATGAGCATCACCTGGTGGCATAGGCGATGCACAACCCTCAAAATCGCTAAAGGCAACGGCGGACTCGGAAGGGGTAACCAGAGTACATTTGAGCCTGTAGGGGATTTCCATGGCCTGCAGGGTGTGCGCCCTGTAGGAAGCCCAGGCACTGGGAACGCTATGCTGGTAGAACCCCCTGCTGATCATAGGTAACCCAAGCTACCTGAAGGCAACCTAGGCCAAAAGGGGGCCAACAAGGGGGTTCAGCCACACACACACAACCCTAGGCAAGCCTAATGAGGCAAAAGACAGACCCCTCAAGCAGATAAAAGGGCCAAATGAAAATTAAAACAAAACACAGAAAACCCAAGCCCCCAGACCGAGCCACGGAGAATGGACAATGAGGGAGAAACGTCGGTTTCTCCCTCATTGGGGAGAATGAAGAAGAAACCGCTCAGGAACACAAAATACAAGTAATTATGGGGGAACTAACTATAATACTGTAGTGTTTGAATAATGGCGAAGGAATGACCCAATGCATGTTTACGTGTACAATTATACACTCGCACATGTATTGGGGTCTTTCCTTCACCTTCACAAATAATTATTTTCTACATACATAACACAAGCCATATTAAACACATTAATCACCTTCATAGTCTGGTAGTGCAGTCTCATAAACTTGAGTGGTTTAGGTACACTTGTCATAGAGGTAGTAGAAGAACGAATGAGAGACCGGATTTGTTCAAGCGCTGGCTTGTACAATTCAGCATTAGACTCCTGCAGCCTTTCCACCAACATGTTCAACTCCTCTTGCAGCTGTTTGTCCTCTTCAGACTATATGAACAAAATTAATGTACATTAATTTCCATACAATGACACTCATGGACCTTCCTTACTACACAAAATTTGGCAGATTTCTATTTCTCACAAATCACTTGTACATTATTTTAAATTAAAGTAGAATTCTAGTTCCACACAAGATTTAATGCAGACTTTTTACACACGTTAGGAAACAAGACTTGTTTGGTTTAATGATGTTAACACAATTTTACTTCAGTTTGCATGCTGCTATAAGCTACAGTTAGCAAGAAATGGACACACATCAAACTTAAAATTAAACTAAATCTAGAGTTTTGTTTTAAAGGGATTCAATCCTCTTTTTTGCCAGACTTCCCTACCCTATTGTGGCTAAAATATGCCACCTACAATTTCTGTTATTTTTTCCATGATCAGGGAACACAAATGAACACTTTTATAAGATGAAGGATTTTTTTTTAATTTTTTTTTTTTTGCGCCTGTGGGTGTTGAAGCCATTTGGACTCCTCGCGGTTTAAGGGTTAAAGAACACAATAAAGTAGCCGTCACAACTGGAAGAAAAATGACAGGTTAGATAACAAGAACTTTTCACACTAGAGATGCTATACCGTTGATGATACTTTTCAAGACGCTAGTGTTCTCTAGAGTGGAGTACTGCTGCACAATGACAGCACCTTTCAAAGCTGGTGAAATTGCTGACCTGGAGAGCGTGCAGAGATCCTTTACTGCTAGAATCCACTCAGTAAAACATCTAAACTACTGGGACCGACTAAAAGGCCTAAATCTGTATTCTCTTGAGCGCAGGCGGGAGAGATACATAATAATTTACATGTGGAAAATATTAGAGGGGCTGGTCCCAAACCTGCACACAGAAATAACACCACATGAGACCATAAGGCATGGTAGGATGTGCAGAATACCCCCGTTGAAAAGCAGAGGTGAAATAGGTATTACGATGTTGAATGTGTGTGTTTTCCAGGTAAGTAGACTTTCCCTTACTTATCTGGAAAGCACACATTCAACGTCTTAAAACAGACTACACAACCCCGACTTGCCATACTGTACTTAAAGCCCTCACTGGCACCACCCGGGGAGTACATCATAAAATCTTGCTCCGTTTCAATACAACCTACATTCCTAGCCAACTAGACAATTGTTGCTAAGCAAATGCATCGGCTGCACCTACTAACCTACAGAGCCTAGAGGTCATTCAAAACAATGCCATGCGACTTACATGTGGAGCAATGTGTTCCACTCCTATGCTCGGACTTTACGGAGAAACGGGCCTCACAAGCTTAGCCACCAGACGAGACATGTGTGCCAACTAGCTGTCACATGTACCACTGCTTACCAGACACAGCCATACAGATCAAAAATTACCCCAACAGTTAATCCACATAACCCTCAATATAGACCTCTCTCCACTCCAAAACCCTGAAACCCAACTTACTGTCCCCCCATTCCACCTTGGCTTTAATACATCAATACAACTTGAAGACAACAATGATGGTGGGGACCGGGCCACACTGCGCCAGGTGACGATGGGGACCGGGCCACACTGCGCCAGGTGACGGTGGGGACCGGACCACACTGCGCCAGGTGACGGTGGGGACCGGGCCACACTGCGCCAGGTGACGGTGGGGACCGGGCCACACTGCGCCAGGTGACAGTGGGGACCGGGCCACACTGCGCCAGGTGACGGTGGGGACCGGGCCACACTACACCAGGTGACGGTGGAGACCGGGCCACACTGCGCCAGGTGGCGGTGGGGACCGGGCCACACCACGCCAGGTGACGGTGGGGACCGGGCCACACTGCGCCAGGTGGCGGTGGAGACCGGGCCACACTGCACCAGGTGACGGTGGGGACCGGGCCACACTGCACCAGGTGACGGTGGGGACCGGGCCACACTGCGCCAGGTGACGGTGGAGACCGGGCCACACCACACCAGGTGACGGTGGAGACCGGGCCACACCACACCAGGTGACGGTGGGGACCGGGCCACACTGCGCTAGGTGACGGTGGAGACCGGGCCACACCACATTAGGTGACGGTGGGGACCGGGCCACACCACACCAGGTGACGGTGGGGACCGGGCCACACTGCGCCAGGTGACGGTGGGGACCGGGCCACACCACACCAGGTGACGGTGGGGACCGGGCCACACCACACCAGGTGACGGTGGGGACCGGGCCACACTGCGCCAGGTGACGGTGGAGACCGGGCCACACCACACCAGGTGACGGTGGGGACCGGGCCACACCACACCAGGTGACGGTGGGGACCGGGCCACACTGCACCAGGTGACGGTGGGGACCGGGCCACACTGCGCCAGGTGACGGTGGGGACCGGGCCACACCACACCAGGTGACGGTGGGGACCGGGCCACACCACACCAGGTGACGGTGGGGACCGGGCCACACCACACCAGGTGACGGTGGGGACCGGGCCACACCACACCAGGTGACGGTGGGGACCGGGCCACACCACACCAGGTGACGGTGGAGACCGGGCCACACTGCACCAGGTGACGGTGGGGACCGGGCCACACTGCGCCAGGTGACGGTGGGGACCGGGCCACACCACACCAGGTGACGGTGGGGACCGGGCCACACCACACCAGGTGACGGTGGAGACCGGGCCACACTGCACCAGGTGACGGTGGGGACCGGGCCACACCACACCAGGTGACGGTGGGGACCGGGCCACACCACACCAGGTGACGGTGGAGACCGGGCCACACCACACCAGGTGACGGTGGGGACCGGGCCACACCACGCCAGGTGACGGTGGAGACCGGGCCACACCACACCAGGTGACGGTGGGGACCGGGCCACACCACACCAGGTGACGGTGGGGACCGGGCCACACCACACCAGGTGACGGTGGAGACCGGGCCACACCACACCAGGTGACGGTGGGGCCCGGGCCACACCACACCAGGTGACGGTGGGGACCGGGCCACACTGCGCCAGGTGACGGTGGGGCCCGGGCCACACCACACCAGGTGACGGTGGGGCCCGGGCCACACCACACCAGGTGACGGTGGGGCCCGGGCCACACCACACCAGGTGACGGTGGGGCCCGGGCCACACCACACCAGGTGACGGTGGGGACCGGGCCACACTGCACCAGGTGACGGTGGGGACCGGGCCACACTGCACCAGGTGACGGTGGGGACCGGGCTACACTGCACCAGGTGACGGTGGGGACCGGGCCACACTGCACCAGGTGACGGTGGGGACCGGGCCACACCACACCAGGTGACGGTGGGGCCCGGGCCACACCACACCAGGTGACGGTGGGGACCGGGCCACACCACACCAGGTGACGGTGGGGCCCGGGCCACACCACACCAGGTGACGGTGGGGACCGGGCCACACCACACCAGGTGACGGTGGGGACCGGGCCACACTGCACCAGGTGACGGTGGGGACCGGGCCACACCACACCAGGTGACGGTGGGGCCCGGGCCACACTGCGCCAGGTGACGGTGGAGACCGGGCCACACCACACCAGGTGACGGTGGGGACCGGGCCACACCACACCAGGTGACGGTGGGGCCCGGGCCACCATGACCCTCCACACACTTCTCTTCACTCCATACTTACCAACTCCTCTTTAATATCGCCATCTTTCTTGTCTTCCTCCTTCTTGGCCTCCTTCTTCTCCGTCTTGGTGGCGTCCTTGGTCATGGTGGCCAAGATATATGGTGGAGGGAGAAGACAGCTCACCCGCCTCGACTTTGTTGACGTTCAGCCTCCACTTGCGCTCAACCCTCGACTTCCACACTCATTCCCCTATTTATATTTGTTATTTCAATTGTTACAGTTGTGGCTATTAATTTGGGTTATGTTTATTAAATAATAACTTCATAAAAAGAAGCGTTCTACTATATTGATATTGCAAATGTGATAATTATATAGTGAAGTCGATGGTATGCGAGGGAAGGGATGAGGTTGATATAATATTTCTTTTTAATAATAATTCACTGAGTCGGAGGACATACATGTACACATTCTATGTATGAGTGTGTGTACATGTATCTATAACATTAATAATTGTGTAACTAGCGTCAAAATATTGTTATTTGCTTAGCTAAACGAACTAGAGGGTTCAGTTCCTGAACCGATTATGTGCCTCTGTAACCCTTTACACCACCGCCCACGGCATGGGTATGGGGTGCATAATAAAGAAAGAAATTATATCGGGGGACAGGAAGCCAGAGTGTATGCATACACGTTTGGCTGTGGATATATATATATATATATATATATATATATATATATATATATATATATATATATATATATATTATTAAATATGACCGAAAAAGTAAGATTAATAATTCTAACACGAATTTTCTCAATCTTTCGTACATTACTCTCTCCAGACACAAAACTCTCCAGACACAAAACAGAACGCTTTAAAAGAGACTAACGTCGTCTATGCCTTCAAATGCCCACTTGGGGACTGTAAGCTCCAAAAAACCCAGTATATAGGCAAGACAACAACATCTCTTTCTAGGCGTTTAACGATGCATAAGCAACAGGGCTCCATTAAGGAACATATAATCTCTTCCCATAACCAAACCATCGCCAGAGAAATCCTAGTAAACAACACAGAAATCATCGATAGATACAGCGATAGCAGGCGGCTTGACGTTTGCGAGGCACTACACATCAAGAAGTCAACACCAGCAATCAACAGCCAATTATTGCACAACTATATTCTACCCACCTCAAGACTCCGCTCCAATATAGAAGCATCAAGAAATATGGACCAATAGGCTTTCTACAAACACTTCTATTCAATACCCATTGTTTCTGTTCTGTCTTGTGTTGATACTTTTAATACCCTATTAATATCCCCTATTGTTCTGTCTTGTGTTAATGCCACATCACCCTTCCCACCTCACTCAAATGTAGATATAAAATCAGAGAAACGCAAGTTCTAATCAGTTGTGTATTTGTGAAGTCTTTGAAAATGTAATAAGTTTTACGAAACGCGCCCGTGTCGCGTCAGACTAGAAATAAAAATGAATTTTGGAGAAGTGATTTTTGATTTACCTCCAACAGTGAAGCGTAATGTACGAAAGATTGAGAAAATTCGTGTTAGAATTATTAATCTTACTTTTTCGGTCATATTTAATAATATATGTCTACAGGAAAGACTGCTACCAAAATATATATATATATATATATATATATATATATATATATATATATATATATATATATATATATATATATATATACCCGCATTAGGTCAGGTGATAATACAATGAAGGTGAAAAACATGGGGGGATACATAAGGGATAAACATAGGGGCTGCAGAAGGCTTATTGGCCCATACGAGGCATCTCCTATCTAAACACAAAGATTAATCCAGTGTAATTGGCCTGTTATGTTGGACATTGTCTTCTGTGTTGGCATCGATATGTTCTTGTCTTGTCCTTACTCTCATGGTGGGTAGAGTAAATAGTTCCGTGATTTGGGTGTTCATGGTAGGTCGCTCTATTCTTATGTGAATTGCCTCAAGAATTTGTAATCTTCTTGAATCTTGGGTTTTGTCTATTATGCAAGTATTCTTGTTTAACATTTCTCTTGTTAGAGTAATGTCATGGGCTTGTCTCATGTGATTCCTAGGGGCACCAGATTGAAGATGGCATGTCAAACGCCTCGTCAGCTTGGTCGACGTCATACCTATGTACTTACATTGAAGGTTACATCCTTCGTGGGGGCAAGTGTACATGTATACAACGCTTGACTGCTGTAGAGGGTTCTCCGTAGAGGCACTACTCCTAACCAAAACATAAACCTGATAATATTCTACAAAACCAAGAAGACTTCCGAACTCCTTATCAAAAACAGCCCGAAGCCGACGGAGAACCCTCTACAGCAGTCAAGCGTTGTATACATGTACACTTGCCCCCACGAAGGATGTAACCTTCAATGTAAGTACATAGGTATGACGTCGACCAAGCTGACGAGGCGTTTGACATGCCATCTTCAATCTGGTGCCCCTAGGAATCACATGAGACAAGCCCATGACATTACTCTAACAAGAGAAATGTTGAACAAGAATACTTGCATAATAGACAAAACCCAAGATTCAAGAAGATTACAAATTCTTGAGGCAATTCACATAAGAATAGAGCGACCTACCATGAACACCCAAATCACGGAACTATTTACTCTACCCACCATGAGAGTAAGGACAAGACAAGAACATATCGATGCCAACACAGAAGACAATGTCCAACATAACAGGCCAATTACACTGGATTAATCTTTGTGTTTAGATAGGAGATGCCTCGTATGGGCCAATAAGCCTTCTGCAGCCCCTATGTTTTTATATATATATATATATATATATATATATATATATATATATATATATATATATATATATATATATATATATATATATATATATATATATATATATATGTCGTACCTAGTAGCCAGAACTCACTTCTCAGCCTACTATGCAAGGCCCGATTTGCCTAATAAGCAAAGTTTTCCTGAATTAATATATTTTTTCTAATTTTTTTCTTATGAAATGATAAAGCTACCCATTTCGTTATGTATGAGGTCAATTTTTTTTATTGGAGTTAAAATTAACGTAGATATATGACCGAACCTAACCAACCCTACCTAACCTAACCTAACCTATCTTTATAGGTTAGGTTTGGTTAGGTAGCCCAAAAAGGTAGGTTAGGTTAGGTTAGGTAGGTTAGGTAGTCGAAAAACAATTAATTCATGAAAACTTGGCTTATTAGGCAAATCGGGCCTTGCATAATAGGCTGAGAAGTGCATTCTGGCTACTAGGTACGACATATATATATATATATATATATATATATATATATATATATATATATATATATATATATATATATATATATATATATATATATATATGACAATGTCAGACCACGGAGGAAAAATGAAACAGGAAATTTCCTTAAGTACTTTCGTATATTAAATACACCTTCTGAAGATGTATTTAATATACGAAAGTACTTAAGGAAATTTCCTGTTTCATTTTTCCTCCGTGGTCTGACATTGTCACATTCTTAATCACGTGTTTATTTTCGTGATATACACATATATATATATATATATATATATATATATATATATATATATATATATATATATATATATATCGTACCTAGTAGCCAGAACGCACTTCTCAGCCTACTATGCAAGGCCCGATTTGCCTAATAAGCCAAGTTTTCATGAATTAATATATTTTCTCTAATTTTTTTCTTATGAAATGATAAAGCTACCCATTTCATTATGTATGAGGTCAATTTTTTTTTATTGGAGTTAAAATTAACGTAGATATATGACCGAACCTAACCAACCCTACCTAACCTAACCTATCTTTATAGATTAGGTTAGGTTAGGTTAGGTAGCCGAAAAAGTTAGGTTAGGTAGGTTAGGTAGTCGAAAAACAATTAATTCATGAAAACTTGGCTTATTAGGCAAATCGGGCCTTGCATAGAAGGACGTTCTGGCTACTAGGTACGACATATATATATATATATATATATATATATATATATATATATATATATATATATATATATATATATATATATATATATATATATATATATATATATATATATATATATATATATATATATATATATATATATATATATGTCGTACCTAGTAGCCAGAACGCACTTCTCTGCCTACTATGCAAGGCCCGATTTGCCTAATAAGCCAAGTTTTCATGAATTAATTGTTTTTCGACTACCTAACCTTCCTAACCTAACCTAACCTAACTTTTTCTGCTACCTAACCTAACCTAACCTATAGAGATAAGGTTAGGTTAGGTTAGGTAGGGTTGGTTAGGTTCGGTCATATATCTACGTTAATTTTAACTCCAATAAAAAAATATTGACCTCATACATAATGAAATGGGTAGCTTTATCATTTCATAAGAAAAAAATTAGAGAAAATATATTAATTCAGGAAAACTTGGCTTATTAGGCAAATCGGGCCTTGAATAGTAGGCCCAGAAGTGCGTTCTGGCTACTAGGTACGACATATATATATATATATATATATATATATATATATATATATATATATATATATATATATATATATATATATATATATATATATATATATATATATATATATATTCTGATTCTGATATATTATGATTAACTTGATTCATGATTATATACACTGATGGTTCCCTACACCGCACCACGGGTGCAGCTGGAAGTGCAGTTGTCCTGACAATGGGCGATGGCTTGTACTTTGAGTGGGGAGTCCGTATAAACAACTGGGCCTCTACCCTTCAGACTGAACTATTTGCCTTGATCCTTGCACTGAAATGTGTACAAGTCTCCAAACTTGATACATTAATTGTAAGTGACTCTTTATCATCCTTAAATGCTCTCAACTCTTTAAGACATAACTGTAACATGCTCGTGTCCGAAGCTAGACACAAATACAACAAAATTATTAAGGATGGTAACAGAGTCCATTTCATGTGCACTCCATCTCATGTTGGCCTCCGAATGCATGATAGAGCTGATAAGTTAGCCAAAGAATCTGCCTTTAAAGGAGCCGTTGAGTGTAACCTTGGATTGTCAATGAGCAATCTGAGAGCAGCAGTACACCGAGAACTTCAACAAGATCTTGTAGATCTGAGGCAAAGTGAAATTGACACCAGTAATTCCATCTATCATCATACTATCATGCAAGAAGAGCCACACATCTATGGATCATCCAATAAAATCAGCAGACTTCTAGATGTTACTAC